AATTGAAACTCATTGCTAGTGGTTGAATTTGTTACCTCTGGTTCCATGACTATATTTCCTTTCGGCGGATCATTTCTTAATCCCCCAGGCCTAATAATTGTGTAATTGATACCAGATTTCCGGATATATTGCTCGGCTTGAAGCTTCGCAACTAAAGTGAGTCCAAAGATGTTAAGAAATATGTAAGCCGGGTTTAAAAGCTGCCCCATTGCAGCTCCATTGACTAAGATAGAACTGATAAGAATAAATCTATTAACACCACGTTTGCGACAGGCATCAACCAAGTTTACAGTGCCAAAGTTATCAACCTGCATGAGATCACAATACCCAGAACTAATTAAACATTGTTCACTCAATGATTCAAGAATATACCCATAAAACATAAAATAGACTAACTACCATTTTGTAGATGTAAAATGATTCCAAGTACAATTTTCAAACATAAATTATAATTAGCAAGCAATAGAAGTTCTTGACGTAGTTGCTTGTATCTTTTTCTTGATACACACAAGATTAAAAAGAATGCAAAGCTTTAATTAAAGCAATGATCGATGCCAGAGATTTGCAAGATAAAATAAAAATTTGCCACAGAACAACAGATAAAAACTTCAGCCAAACAAACAAAACGCAGTTGCTACCTAGGAATATTGTTACCAAAGTCATTATCTGATGTTTTACTATTAAATCTGGTAAATAGAAATAAAGGCAATTCCCGAGATTCCGGCCAAACTATTGTATTCAGATGATAAGAAACCAAAATATGATTTACTAACCTTCCATGGAGCAAATAAATCCCATGAAGGTCGAAAACCTGTTGCACATACTACCGCCTCAGAATCATCACTGATAGCATCAGCTAGTTTTGCTGAACCCTCGGTTACATCTGCTTTTAACTAAAATCAGAAGTGCACACTGCCTTAGAACCACAGATGGACAAGGCGGGTGGGGCATCAAGTGAGAAAAATATCTTATGGTAAAAACACAGTCTAAGCCTTGGGATGTTTGATGCAATTCTGAAAGTCCGAAATTGTGTATTTCCTCTCTTATTTAGGCTTAGCAATGTGTAATTTCATGTCGCGTGAATAGAA